TGGACATGTTCAGCAGAATTTCTCGGCTGGAGACGTGGCTTGGTGAGCTTCAGCTTTAGAGACAACCTCCGGTATCGATGGATTGTCGACTTGGAGACTGGATGACTGTTGGTAACAGCTTCCTTGCCAGTGTCCTTGTGGATAAGCCCGTCTTTATCTCCGCACTTCGCAATGACGATCTGCGCTATACCCGGCTGGCGGAAGTCTTCTTGCCGCGACCTAGCTTGTTCTCAGGCGTCTATCCGCTTTTGCCGCGTGTCAACCAGCGCCAAATCATGCAGCAACTCGTGCCCAGTGCCTAGCGACTTGGCCGTAGGTCATGCCGCCGGCAATCCGCATGCCGACTGCCCCGCTGCGGGACGATTTGCTCTGCAGTTTTGCCATCTCGGACACCTGGTCCGCACGCGCTGGGTACTGCCCCGGAAATGACCTCCGTACACCCCTTGACCGGTCAGGGTCACAAAAATTCGAAGGTCACGTGACTAGAATGCAGCTAAGATGGTCTGGGAGCTAGTACCGGGGAAATTATATTGACATTGCGCTACAGAAGGCAAAATAAAGGTTGTGGGAGGGTGTGACATTAATTTTGGGACATCCTGTACTGAACGATCGCCTTGAAACATTCAGTGAATAATAAAGGTAGCAGTGTGTATAAAATGTTTATCTCAGAATTTTGGAACCGGTGACCTAAAGTAAGGCCAATTTTGCGCCCTCTCTATTATAAGCCAGTGGGAGGAAATTGAAAGGCGCCTCTTTTAGACGAACGTCATTCAAAAAATCGTTACAGGTAAAAAGGCACACTGAATCGGGAAATTGCGCCAGTGACTCCCTCCCGCCCTTATGCTCCTGAGGTCATCTTAGGTCATTAAAGGTCCCAGCTGGTTTTTTATATTACATTTTGATAGAGACATGCTAGAGTGACGAAAACAGCTTGGGTGTGTTCACGTCGACGATACGGAGTGACTGATATGCAACATTACGTTTTCTATCAAGGTAATGACCTTGACTTTAAGGTTTAACTTTAAAAATGACCCTTAAAGGCCAAACTATAGTTTATTCGAAGCGTCTCGACAAGAGAAACACGATGCTGGCAAACGAAATGGCGTACCTTTCTTTAGCTAAAAGTTGTAACGTAAAACAAATAGAAAAACGCCTGTTTTTTAGTGTCTTTGGTCAAATCTGATGACAATTTACAAGCTACCGATGTCGGTGGCGCTGCAGCTTTATTGTTCTATTGGCTCCCGAATTACGAGTATGCGCCGGTTTGTCAAACCTTTGGCCTAACCCAAAATAATCGACATACCGTCGTCATGATTTCTAGCGCTCCCTCGAGCGCCGCTTAGCTCGTGTCGCTAAGTGGCCCAGAAGCCGAGTCAGAGAGGGATGTTCAAATGCACCACCCCTGCCACCCCTGCCGAACACCGGCCCGGTGCGAGTTATGCTGTGCCGCAATGACCGTACCTGCAATACTGGCCGCTAGATGGCAGTAGTAAGACGCCTGCAGTGATACTGTGCCGCAATGACCGTACCTTCACTACTGGCCGCTAGATGGCAGTAGTAAGACGCCTGCGGTGATACTGTGCCGCAATGACCGTACCTTCACTACTGGCCGCTAGATGGCAGTAGTAAGACGCCTGCAGTGATACTGTGCCGCAATGACCGTACCTTCACTACTGGCCGCTAGATGGCAGAAGTAAGACGCCTGCAGTGATACTGTGCCGCAATGATTGCACCTTCACTACTGGCCGCTAGATGGCAGATGTAAAACGTCTGCGGTGATGCTGTCTGTGCCGCAATTATCTTGCCTACTGTTAACGCCAGACCCCTTGAGACCCTAATTTTTCGCGATTACTTTTAAATGCGTGAAGGAATTTCAACCAAGCTCAGGACATGGCCGTTTCAAGACAGGCCGAAACTTTTACAATTTAGATATTTTATCGCCATTTCAATATTTCAGGCACTTGTCATTGACTCGTAATGTTAAATTTCGAGCAAGATTTTCATCCGGTGTGTAGAGGCTATCACCAGTCAGTCTGTGATACGTTATGACGTCACAGCTAAGCCCCGCCTCTGTGGTCTTGGCCTGCGGCGGTTTCGGGCCGGCGCGCGGTCACTCTCGCTGTGGCGGGGAGCGGGGACGGGCGACGGTCGAGCGGTGCCGAAAGTCGGCGGAGTTGTGCGTAGCGTCTTGGCTGACAGTGCCCAGAGAGCGACATGATGACTAAGGAGTCATAAATGCTCAATGCGCATTGCTTCTACAATGCTGATATGTTCGCTGATATATATTTTTTTATAAGCTGCATATGACGGGCAGATGGCATATAACTGACATAAGGTTAGGAAATATTCACCTGTATTTAAAGCCTATGGCGTTGCAGATAATGCGATAATGGGATGTCGGATGTCACCAAGTAGCTGCCGATTTGTACATCGCTATGCAACCATCGAACAACGCAATAATAAGTTAATTGCCTGAGCTTCACATCATACGGCTCGCTCGTATTTCAAACAGATACCCTACATCGAAAATCGTATTTGTTAGGAATCGTTAACGTTTGTTCGAAGCACGACTGAGTAGTAGGTTGAGGAGTGATGGTCCTCTTGGTCCTATATACAAGAGTCAACAAGAGCCTAACATTTACTTGACCGTCTGCTGCAACTGACTCATAGCACTGAAGCGTCAGCGAAATTCATAGTCCTTCACAGATGGCAACACACACCAAACAACAGCACACAAATCAGCAGCAAGTCTCAGCAGCAAGTTCTATGTAAGTAACCAAATTCATTGTCTCGCCCATCAGGCACCTTTCGGCCTTCCCTTTGCTTTGCAACCCACCGGACGCCACATGAGCCGGTTTAAAGGGACCCTCCCACCTTCAAAAAGTTAATGAATTGGCATGAAGGTGATGTCGCTCGGTTCAGAATGAGCAAAAATGAATATCTACCAAATTTCATCGAAAAATATTCACCGGTTTTCAAGATATTAGACTTTTACTTTTGTTTACTTTTTGGGATCTCCGCTATTCCTAGCGACTTTATTTGAAAGTGCGGCATTTGTTGCGCGCAAAGCAGCATATACCACCGCGTGCTGCCAAACGTTTTAGTAAAAGATTTAAAAATCGTTAGATCTCCGCTGACGTCACAAATTCTAAGGGGGCATACCAATGCATTAGCCCCTTAGAATCCGAAAACTGCAAGTTTGAAATTCCATATCTCCGAATTAAAGCATTTTTCGATGTTGTGAATGCCCAAACCGGTATTTTCAGGCCATGGCCACCAATTTGGCTATCTCAACTCAAAACTAATGTTAAGGTGGGAGGGTCCCTTTAACGTAGTCTTTTGCCTTTGTCTTAGTTCTTGGGCCGGAATTAAATAGCCGGCATTAACGTAACGTAAACGGAAGACCTGGCCAATTGCCAGCTAGTAACTTTCCCCCTCCCCCGGCTATAGCCACTTGGCTTGCTGGGAGGACAAAAAAAGGGTGTCGTTTGTACAGAGGTCGCTGATGGGCACGGGTCAATGCCGCAGTCGTGGGCGGAGCCTAATGTCATATGACGTAGAAAGCCTCTATCCAGGATGGAAAAACAGTTAACATTACGAGTCAATGACAAGTGCCTGAAATATTGAAATGGCGATAAAATATCTAAATTGTAAAAGTTTCGGCCTGTCTTGAAACGGCCATGTCCTGAGCTTGGTTGAAATTCCTCCACGCATTTAAAAATAATCGCGAAAAATTAGGGTCTCAAGGGGTCTGGCGTTAACAGTAGTTAACTTACCTGGTTGGGCTCCCGTCGTCAGCTGGTGCTGTGGAGGCCGTACCGGCGGGCGTCTGCGGGCACCACCCCGGCGCCGACAAACACAAATCTGTGACATCAACCTAGGCTCTGCCCAACCGAACATCAAGTAGCGCCTTTTTTAACCCACGCCGGGGCTGGGGAAATGTTCGGACACCCCATTGCGGTCTTTTGCGGATATCTAAAAAACGGTGGCCGTATTTGGCACACCTGTCAATGCATCTTTTCCGCACATGTCATGAACATTTCAGACCCAGGTCGCTAAAGGTCCAGTCACTACGTCACTTCAAGAAACCTCACCTCAGTAAAAACTTGAATATTCGTCATTAGTTACACCGACTGAATGATTGCCTTGAAATTTTCAGCGGCTGGCACGAGTAGCAGTATGTACGTACCTACCTATAAAATGTTTATCTCGGAGTTTTGATATCGGTGACTGACGGTCAGGTCAATTTTGCGCCCTCTCCTTTTTGAGTAAATAGGAGAAAATCGAGAGGCGGTTCTTTTCGACGAACGTCATTCCAAACACTCAAACATCGGTAAAATAGACAGATAAATCGAAAAATTGCAACCATGACCCCTCCATTTCCCTGGGGTCATCTTAGGTCATCAAAGGCCCCCAGCAGTTTTTGACAATAACTTTTTCATGATTGGAGACATGCTAGAGGAATGAAAAGTAAACACAAAGTTGCGTTGTGTTTGAAAAGTTGTGAAAAAGTTGTGAAAAGTTGCGTTCTTTCACATATACACACAACCCTGCCGAATACATCCACTAACCGTTGCGTCCCATCACTTCTAGCGGGAAAAAACGGTGCCACCACCACCGCACCCAGTTTTCACGTACATGATAACGAGGTGTAAAAAAAAAAATCGAATGCCCGCCAGCGCCTGATTAGTGGGCCGGGGGGGGGGGTGTTCGCGGACGAAGATCGGGAGCGACTGCGGCCGGGCGCAGGGGTCCTGGACCGATCCAGCACCCGGCGGCCGGCGCCCCTGGTCGCTGATTGGCGGAGCCGAATGACCTGCGGCGGGTCAGACCACCGCCCGACGAGCCGCGCCGTTCCGATCACCAAGCAGCTGGTTGATTTCGATCGATGGAAAAATCGCCTAATAAGGTCTTATCAGGCATGCATTTTCCATTCCTCTCGACATCTGTGAATGAATAAACATCATCAAATTTCTCCTCAAGAAATCACGAGACAGACAGTTGGGTGCTGATTGATTGGGAGTGTATTTTATATACAACCAATACAAATTGCGTTCTTTCACATATACACACAACCCTGCCGAATACATCCACTAACCGTTGCGTCCCATCACTTCTAGCGGGAAAAAACGGTGCCACCACCATAATACATCAACCCCACCGTTTTTCCTTGCTACACAGCATTGATAACAAAAGACAGGCGAAAACGGTGATCCCACCACCACCAAACCTTTACCTCGTCGTTCTCGCCAAGACAAGCCGGGCTCCTGACTACCGTTTTACGGGAAGCCTCGCGAATAAGATGCTTTTACGAGGCTATTACGAGACATCAAGCACCGAAACCGTCCCCCGAAAATACCTGCGCACCGCACGGGAACGCCAGCGCCCCGCCTCGGCCAACTGCAGCTCCGACATCCCCTGCAATGCGCCATGTGATGCCCCACCTATGCGCAAACAGTGACCAGATATGCCAGATGAGCTCATGCCATGCAGCAGAGCAGTCCTCTTCAGCACTTTTGAGAGCCTTGCTGTAGAGATAGCTGAACCCCTGGCATCCACGAACAGCTGACTATCACCCTGAGGTCTGACCTGTATAAAATCACCGACAGCTCTCACTGGGCAAAAATCCGTATCAGGTCGGGCATTAAACGTCAAAACGTGAGGACCTGGAGACGTCTTCGAAGACGGAATTCTAATAACTAGTCGCTGCTTTGAGACTGTGACGTCACATAGCCGAATTGTGTGTTGAGGAGCTATCCCCTTAACTAATTCACCAGGCCGTAAGAGACCAAAAAATCCCAAGAGAAAAATGGCCCGGAAGGCTAGCCGGTCTACTCTCGGAAGGCCCGCTACATAAAGTTTACTGCACAGCGCTTGAACCTCTTGTATCGAGAGGGCCCTACGTTGATCAGCGGACACTTTAAACCTACCGGCTCCTCTGAGCAATTGCTTGATCCGAAAGTCAGCCGTCGGATCCGCCATTCCCCTGATTTTGTGTCCATACGCTATAGCAGATGCATGAGACATCATCGTAGACGGGCCACAGCCTTCTTGGAACAGGGAAGCCAAATAGTCGGCCACGGCATTGACCGATATGGGAAACGAAAGCACTCCCCCGCGAAGATGTCCCCGAGCTATCCGGTCCCAGACGGTCGCGTAGAATTTCCTCGTGCCCGGTGCCAAGCCTGCATCTATGAGGGCCGCTACCGCAACAGGTCGCTGAAGACGCCCCATGACCAATCCGTGGGAGCCCGATCGGCTTGCGGCATGAGCTCCCGGAACCGCTGTAACAGCCCGCGGGATAGAGCATCAGCACATGCATTACATTTTGACGGGATGTGGGACGCCACTACGTGAATGTTCCCAAGCATACACACAATGAAAAGCCTCCTGACCCATGCCATTAGAAGGGGATCCCTGCACGACTGAGAATTAATCGCGCAAACCACGGATAAATTGTCTGATGCTATTTTTACATATTTGCCCCGGAGTCTGTCTGCCCATACGTGACAAGCAATAACAACTGGAACTAACTCTTTGACGGCGATTGAGCTTCCCACAAGTGCGGAAGGCCACTGACCGCATAACCAGCTGGATCCGAACAGGGCCCCAAAGCCAAACCCCCCGGACGCATCAGTGTAAATACAATGTAGACGCGACAAATCTGGATATCGCTCAGCCATCATCGTTTTACCATTAAAATGGGACAGGAATAAAAGCCAAGCCTCCATGTCCTTCCGTGTTTGATCTGTAGTGGTAATCCGACGCCACGGTTCGATCGTACCACGTGTTGTGTCGATCAGCCTTCTCAGAAATGGGCGGCCAATGGGCACCGCCAAACATGCAAAATTCAGCTTGCCGATGAGTGACTGCACTGCTCGCAGAGTCAAGAACTCTTCTCGAAGCGATGACTGCAGCGCTAATTTGAACGCTTCAGTTTTGTTTTCTGGCAACAAAATTTGCTTATTCACTGAGTCTAGCTCGAGCCCCAGGAACTCAATTTTTGTGCACGGTTTAACAGTTTTACTGACTTTCAGGGGCACCCGGACCAGCTCGCATAGCCTAGTAAAGCTGCCCAACGCAATCTTGCACAATGTTTCAGTCTGTTCAATGAACAAAAAATCATCCAGGACATTGACTATAGAGGTGCACCCAAATCTACGTTTCGCTATCCACACTATGGCATCACTGATTGCCTGGAAAATCTTGCTACTAGAGGAGCAGCCCATTGGCAGGGCACAGTCAAAATACAGTTTTTCTCGCCAACGAAAACCGAGGAACTTCCTATCTGAAATTCGGACAGGTACAATACGGTACGCACACTGAATGTCCGTTTTAGCCAAGAAAGCGGGTCTCGAGAGGGCCAGTATCTCCCCAATCGCGTCCTCAATGCACCCGTATTCGACTCTCACCGCCTCAGGGGGAATGGAATCGTTGACCGATCCGCCCCTTGGATATGACAGGTGGTGGATGACGCGAAATTCGCCCGGGGTTGATTTGGGAATCAAGCCAATCGGGGCGATTGTGTGCGTGGGGAACGGAGAGATGTCAACTGGGCCGATAATGCGCCCTCGCGCTTTCTCGTCATGGATATACCTATCTATGGCGTCCGGAGAGGACTGACAGGAGGGCAGGTTTTCTCCGCCGTCTCCCGCGCAAGGCGCGGTACATTCCAGCGAAAATCCCTTAGAAAATCCTCCAATAATGTAATTGGCCTTTACCGAATCATAGCCCGCAAGAAGGTGCTCAAGCATTTTTGCATCTACCACTGGGAATGCAGCCTTACCCTGTTCCCCTTGCACCACCACTGGAAAAGCCGAGTGGATATCGACTTCCCCGTTTTCTTTAATTATCCCAGACGTGTCACTGCGAAGGACGGCAGGGCCCCCAATTGTGACAAGCGCTCTCACACTCTCGTCCCGTGGAACAACAGGGTCCACGGGCTCGCAGACAGAACTCCCGCTCTCGCCCGGGGGGACAACAGGGCCCCTCGAAATGTGATTTGCTTTTGCCGCGCTACTGCAGGGAACAACAGGGTCCCTACGATAGCCTTGTGTTTCATAGTTTTTGGTCGTGGGGACAACAGGGCCCCACGAACCGCCACCGGATGCTGAGGTACCGCCAGGGACCCTCGGGCTCTTAGCGATGCGACTGGAACTCTGGATCGTGTGACTTTTCCCATGGTAAGATGTGTCCTCGATGCGCCGCTTAGTGGATCGGGGCGCCGCCGCTAGGCGCCAGTGCCCGTCCTGGCCCGTCGCGACATACCACGGCACTGTGGGGACCGTCGCAGATAGTGCAGGCGTGCCTGAATCTGCAGGATGTCCACTTACAGCCCCTGCGGTGGTTGAAGTCGATGCACCTTGAAGGGCTGGGTCCCGGCATGCTGCTTGGTACCCTGCGGGGGAGCCCTCCCTGTTGACCTTTTTGAAACGTGGCTACCCCGCTTGCGACCGCACCCATCCATAGCATCTGGGGTGGATGATCCCATGGATATTCCGATGGGGAGACCTCTCTTGCCTTGCGGAATGATTCATCGTAATTTTTCCAGGCCATACCAAGTCCGGATCGAGACAAATCCATTACTATGGACATGTACCTCAAAAGGGCCTTGGCTTCCTCAGGATACTCTGCGATGTACACATTAGCGTACCTAAGGAACGCCTTGACCCATCCACTGACAGACAGGCTGTCCGTCTGTGGAGCGGGACCTAGGGCAATCCTCCCCCCTTCCGCTATCAGATACTGCCTTTCCTCGCCTCCTGACGGTCTTTCTTCCGGTAGCAGCAGCAATTTCAGGTCGACGTACTTGTGGCTGATGATTCTCTGGCGGATTGAGTTGCCTATGCCCGCTGTCCCAGAGGGTGCACCATCAAAAGCGAGAGGTGTTATGGGGTGATGGGTGGCTGGCCCATTGCCCACATATTGATGATCTGGCCCCGCCTCCCATGGAAGAGGGGAATTTTCCATTTCCGCAGACCTACCTCGTAGTCCCTCGGTGGCGGCGCCGACCGCCTCCCGAACGGCGACATTGATCAGTGCCGATATTTCCTCCCTCGACACCGTCCCGCTGTCTGCCCCTTGAGCCGTTCCCGCCGAAGAAGAGGCCGAAGGCGAGCTTGCTGTTGCAGCAACCCGGCTGGCTCTTAATGCCGATCTCGTCCTTCCGCCCGACGCGGTTGGACGTCGCCCTCTCCCTCTCGGCATCTCGAAGAAAAAAAGAGAACAGGGACAGATCATGGTGAAAATGGCATACACGTGACAATTCAATTGATTAAATTCATGACAATTGAGACACAATTCCCTGAGCTCATTTTATATTTTTCACCATTTCTAACATCGCCATTTCCCCTCGGGCGCACAGGTGGATCCCATCTCGTCCCAACATCCCCTGGGGATATTCAACGTTGAGCATAGTCACTGGCGGCCGCCGGAATCGCGTGGCCCAGATGCGGTTCACCGCCCGGCGCCGCTCCTCGTACCGTGCGGGAGATACGTCGCAGGGACGGGTGGTTGCCCTCGGTAGGATTGGGAGGACCCATACTTTTTCGATCCCGATGGCCGCAAGCCCCAGACCCAGCGTGATTAAGTCGTTGGAGAGTTCAGGCACGTCGAGATCCTTATACGCCAAGTCATTACCCCCCAAAACCAGAATCACAGACTTTGGGTTATATGCCTTGGCAAGGCCGAGTAGCTCCCTCTGGTGCCGAAGACTTGACAGCCGAGCCCCCGGGATCCCGGCCGCCGAAATTGGCGGCGGCTGCGACGGGCTTGTCCGTTGATATTCCCGTAGCCGCCGGCTCAGCCGTCTGGCGTGGCTCGAGCCCAAGATGAGCATACTCATCTGACGAGTCCAACGATAAATGCAGATGAGAGACCAGATAAATGTCCCGCCCTTCTTAGGGGCACCTTGGTGGACGGGGCGTTATCTAACATTAGATGGCGCAAGTATACCTGATCCAAGTCCCCTTCTGAACCTTTCTTAATCGTCCCCTTAAGTAAGCGCACAAATAACCTCAACTGTAAGTGAAGCATAATACCGAAGTCTCCATACTGTCCGGTCCCAAGGATAGTATTAACCAGAAGACCTATTAAACCCCAGTGGTTAAATGATTACTTCCCATGATCTAATTGACAGACACCTCCTCGCTTTGTTAATTTTTATTTTTTATAGCTGTTTATCCAATCTCCATTCAATATTTAATATTTATTATGCCAATATTTATTTTTATTGTTCAATAACTTATGATATGTTTACTTCAATTTTATCTTAATTTTATTTAATATGATTTATTAATATTTGTTTTATTTCATTTTTTATTTCTATTCTTTTTCCATATAGTAGCGTTGTTACTTATTGTTACTTTACCATAAATCCGGACAAGCCCAGCGCAGCAATCCGGATAACCGGGCCAGCTACGCGCATAAATCCGGGCAATCCGGGCAAGACAAGCGCAGCAATCCGGATAACCGGGCCAGCCGAGCGCATGAATCCGAGAAATCCGGGCTAACCAACCGCCGAAATCAGAGTTACTTCTCTTTTTGTTCATCTAATTTTAATCTAATTTAACTTTATTTTATTTACATACATTACTCCTAATTTACATTGTTACCTATTGTTACTTTACCTCGTTGCTTGTAATGTGTTGCTTGTTACTTTGTAGCATTGTGACTTATTTATGCATTTGTTAATTATTATTAATATTGTTTATTCATAAAGTTATCTTTCATTTGTATTTTATTGCAAATATTTTATGTTATATTATTTCCTCTTTAACCAACTTATATTATATTTTATTTTAATTTAGATATTAAAAAATGCCCCTGGTAACCAAAACCCATAATACATTAGCGGCCGATATCCCTGCATGTTGAGGCGGGATGCCTGCTAGGCATATAAGCTACGTACCAAATAATTCACCTCACCGCCACATAGTTACCACCCATGCCCCCATTTCAGGCGCAGCAGTCAGCCGACAAATGTCATTGTGCAACCATACTCCATATGTGCAGGCAAAATATCAACAGATAAACTGACCTCGTTGATGCTGATGGCGCGACCAGAAACCAGGCGTCCGGACGTGAACTGTTCGCGGACGAAGATCGGGAGCGACTGCGGCCGGGCGCAGGGGTCCTGGACCGATCCAGCACCCGGCGGCCGGCGCCCCTGGTCGCTGATTGGCGGAGCCGAATGACCTGCGGCGGGTCAGACCACCGCCCGACGAGCCGCGCCGTTCCGATCACCAAGCAGCTGGTTGATTTCGATCGATGGAAAAATCGCCTAATAAGGTCTTATCAGGCATGCATTGTATGATTGGAGACATGCTAGAGGAATGAAAAGTAAACACATTCGATGTGTTCAGGTCGACAATACGGATCTACTGATATGCAAAATGACCTTTTCCGATCAGGTCACTACCTTGACCCAAGGTCAAATTTTCAAAATACCTTGTAAGTCCAAACTCCAAAGTACCTACCTACAGGGTTGGGCAGATAAATTGGGACAAAATACATATTTGCATTCAGAACGCCGTAGCTTAGAAATTTGTAAACGTAGGCATTTCAAATTTGGATCACACATTGTCACACCAATTTTACACATTTATCACCAAATATGATCGCTGTGGTCCACCTGCATCAGTCCTTATCGGTGCCTGGACTGGCCGCACGCGCGGCGAGATCTCCCGTCTGAAATGGCTCGTAATTGTAGCCAACTGGCACTACTGAGGCTCACCACAGTCACATGGGGACGTTCGTTAGACTCGGCCGCAAAAACGCCCCAGCAACCAGAACTTGTGTGGGCTGAGGTTTAATAAGGGAGGGGGCATTTAGCCTTGGGTACAGTTTGCGGGATCCTCCGTTTCAGGAGATTTTGTATTTAATTTACTGTATGCCGGGGAGCTGACTCCTCGAAGAGCATCACTCCATGCAGGATGATGCCTTCTTCCATCTTGTTGATTCGAACTGCCGGAATAATGGTTAGGTACGCTGTAAGGGCGAACCCCCTCCCGATTCCGTAAAATAAGGGGGCCCCACGTGGCCGTCAGAGGTCACCGAGTGGAATGCCATCACCGAGGTCTGCTGCATGCTTTTTGGAACTAAGATCACGTCTTCTGGGCTGGTTGCGATGTTTCATGGTGTTTGCGGTTGTTCATATGTTCGGTTATGGGGATACCATCGTCGAAAAAGACCTGCACGTGCTTGCTCGCTTCTCCAAGCCCTTCAAGAGGAAACAATCTTTTTAACGTCACAGCTGCTTCAACATCTATGTTAACAGGTCGATATGCATCAATGCATAAGAGTACATGTTTGAGGTGCTGGTATATCGCTTTCTCATAGCGCGGCTACCTTCGTTGTAAGCTCGCGCCACTGTTTTCGCGAGGATCCTCTGATTTAACTGAATTTTGCCTTTTAGCCCCCCTGGAAAACCGGGGGAGCGGCCGGTGTCAATGCAATAAGTATGTAAGGATGAGTCAACATCTTCTCTTCCTCCAACGTTTACGTCTGTTCGATACACACTACTTTCAGCCATTTGATGGAGCATAATTAGAGTATTGGCATGCATGTGGGCGCGGACTAAGTTGATGGTGACTTGCTTAAGCCCATGTTCTGTGATCAACCGATTCAAAATTACAACGCAACCTGCATAACATAGAAAAGTATTCATTAGCCTATATGTAGGGGAGAGAGGTCATATTGCGCCACCTTAAGGATATCGGCCTATTGCGGCCAAAGTTGACCAGCTGTCATGCTTGATGATATCTCAAATTCTACCTCAGTTATTTTGGCATCAAATTACAACTCTTAATTTGTATCACACCCATAAAAACTAACAAGAGAGAAGTTTTCCGACACACCTGCAAAGGGCGCATTTACGGACTACCCCATCAAAAAGCGCCCATGCCTCTCATGTAAAAGCGCCCTATTAAAAACAACGGTTTGCCACCTAACTATGTAGCCTATTTGAACGTGTCAGCCCATTAACCATTTATGCTGTGAAGGCTAAGGTAATGGTAAGGTGAGTGCTCTAATAATCAAAGTGTTCAATGAAATGTGTCCCAACCACCAGATACTGTTTCTCTGAGTTGAAGAATAGGGCGCAAATAGGGTGGGCGCAATTACGAATGGAACACATTTTTCATGAGCTTCAAATATGGCGAGGACAGCGAAGCCACGGTGGTTATAAACTTTCAAAACTACCATTAAACGAGCAATTAACAATGATTATTAGTTGAATCACTATCTCTAAGATAAACCATGACACTAGCAAAGGTCGAAATAGACTGTTTCGCGTAAGAAAATAGAGGAAATCACAAAAAAATGGTCTGCGAGAAAGCTGAGACATCTCACCTGCCCCCGTGGACCGGAATAAGAGCGAGTTATTGGTGGTGAAGTAAATGCACACATTCGAGCATTCATTCGAATCGAATTTTGGACAGGAGGAAGGTGTGGCGCATTTAAGAACATGGCGCAATATGACCTCTCTCCCCTACGTTCAAAAATTATCTTAATCACTCAAAAAATGGTCGTTTTAGAGGAAGTTGAAATTTGTCCCAATTTATCTGCCAAACCCTGAGTGTCAGAAGTGATTAAAAAAAAAAACATTGTTCGTAAAAGCAGCTATTTTCAATTATTGCCTCTGCCGGCTAAACCGTTGACCTGTCACCTGAGGTCAAATCTGAGCACTGTCTTTAGAAAAAGCGTTGAAAGGGCTATCGAATGCGTTTCTCTGCGGCGCTGCTGCAGCTCTATTGGTTCTTGAGTTATGCGCCGGAGTTTCGAAATGTGTTGACACACATAGGCAAGATTTTTCTTTTGATGTTCTCTGATGACCAGACCTATGACCTTGACCAGAGTCTGGTCACCAGACTTAACCCTCGCCCGCACATGGGGGGGGTGGTTGCCACCCCCCCCCCCCCAGGTAGTCTTTCTGCTCTGCACTCAACATTTTTAGAGCTAGAAGGCTGATTTTTCGTATAGCTGCTCCTCTATCCTTTCTTGATGTCCACTGAAAATTTCAAGTTTCTGTGATTTTTGGTTTCGGAGATATGACCTTGTTTTTCAGGTCATGTCATGACCCAAATGGCCAATTCTCAACATCTTGCGTTTGCCATGGGCCTTATGAGCTTTTGACACCCTGATTTCGGCCTTTTTTGCCAGTCTTACCTCCTACCTATCATGGAACATGTTGTTTGACGATGTACAGGGGTCAAGGTCAGGGTCAAGGTCAACCTAGGTCACCTAAGATAATTGCGTTTTAGGCAAGCTGAATTTACTTTTTTCTGAAGTTTTTTGACTGCATTTTTGGTAAAAGCTTCTCAGATCATGATTTCATGTAATATGGACCCAAAAACAATCGGTGCACACATCAGTATACACACAGACACACACAGACATACAAACACATATAATTGACCTTGACCTAACTTGACCTGAAATGACCTCAGCAGCAAAATTCTGGTCGGGTAGTGTGACAAAGAGGTTCTAGCTGGCTTGGCACCAGAAAACAGCATCGTCATCGGTATTTGATAAGCAGCACACTTGATATCCAACGGTGACCCAAAACAGCAACATTTTTTAGTTTGACCTGACCTGGAAGGTCAATGACTGACCTGAGAAGGTAAAACTGGGTATCATTGGATTCGTCTCTTCCCAAAGAATCTTTTTGGTCTTTACTGCTAAGCTCTATCTCCAACAGGAACGAAATGGCGCGGGGGGGGGGTGGCAACCACCCCCCCCATGTGCGTTCTAGGATGGGAAAATGGCATGTGCGGGCGAGGGTTAAAAAATGACTGCTTTCGTCTTGATTTTCGAAGGTCTTTCGAATGCCGCTTGCCACGTGTCACTACGTGGCCCAGGAGCCGAGTAAGAAGGAGAGGGGTGTTCAGACCAGTTCAGACACCCACCGGCCCGGAGCGGTTGGCACCGAGGACCGCGGCCTGGCGCGGGTTAAAGGGACCCTCCCACCTTAACATTAGATTTGAGTTGAGATTGCCAAAATGGGGTCCCTGGCTCACAATTACCGGTTTCGGCACTCACAACATCGAGAAATGCCTTAAATCGGAAATATTGAATTTCAAAATTGCAGCATTTTGATTCAGAGGGGCTAATGCATAGGAATACCCCTCTGAATGTGTGACGTCATCGCAGATATCTAACGATTTTTAAATGTTTGACTAAAACGTTTTGTAGCACGCGATGGCCCAGTAAACATGCCGACGTCGGCCCGGCGTCGGGCCGAGGCTCGGCCCGACGTCGGCCCAACGTCGGTTCAACCTCGGCCCGACATCGGCTGGACGTCGGATATGCCCGCATGTTCCGACGTCCAGCCGAAGTCCAGCCGACGTCGAGCCGACGTCGGGCCGAGATCGTTTGCCGAGGTTGACGAGATCGTTTGTCGTTGGACCGACGGGGCCGACGTCGGCATGTTTATTGGGACAACGCGCCAAAAATATCAACCGGCGGCGGGATTCGAGCCCCCCAGTCGCCGACGTCGGCATATTTACTGGGACAACACGCCAAAAGCATCAGCCGGCGATGGGATTCGAACCACATGTCATTCGAACGCGAGGTTAGTGCGCTAACCACTACACCACGCAGCCAGTTAATGAATCTGGTTTGTTTTGTTGGGTTATGCCCTTTCGGTCTGACAAGACCATTTCAGAGCCGGAAGGATCATAGGATGGAGACATTGGTCTTCTTGGCGAGCACCCTGGGTCCAGTTCATATAGAGTCGCTGGTCCCATTGCTGTTACGTGACACTTATGGAAAGGGCGAACCCACAATGGATTCATACAGCCACTCTTACACACCTGCACCAACGTTTCCCAAAGTGTCCCTTTGATAAGTGGCACTTTGGCAAAGTGACACTTGCCGACTGGCCTTTCTATGTATATGAACTGGGCCCGGCCCTGGTGAGTTGCCGGGGCTGAGCCTGACCAAAGGATAGGCCGAGCAGCCCCCAAGCACTCACCGCACCCGGCTACGGGCGAGCTCGGCTTACGGGCAATCCCAACTGGGATAAAGTTTCCCGACCAGTCCGGATCAGGGGGTGCAGCTTGGAGGAAGATTTGAGTTTCCTGAGGATATTTTGAATACAGAAGCTCTTTATGAAACATGAAACATGTATTATATATTATTTTCACGGTCAAAACAGCGGCCGATGTCGGTCCGACCGCCGACGTCGCCCCGACGTCGGCCCGACGTCGACTGGACCTCAGCAATTGATCTCGGTCCGACGTCGGCCCGACGTCGGCTGGACCTCG